GGGTGAATCAATTTCTTGTCTTCAGGTTTCATAGCAGGAAACAGCAGCACTTCCTAGGGGAGAAATCAAACACCATCAGCTTCCCCACCTCTCCCCACTGCTCACCCCCTGTGCACATTTCTTTTTGCACAAAAATAAGAGCCCCATAACCAGCAAATTGCAAGTACCTGATTTGTGCACACTTAACATGTGAAACCCAACTTACTTCCTCAGTGCTTAAAGCTAGATTTTCCCAGACCCCATAATGAACACCATGAAACTGCTGGTGTGAGAGCAAGGACCCCAAAAGTAATTAAGACAATTTTAATTTTTACCATTTAACACATACCCCTAACAGTGCCTATGAAGTTTGAATTTCAGCTGTAATCCTGAATTCCTTGATCTTTAGGCTGGGGTGAAGGTCATAGGTGTCTCAATCACACTCACATTACATAAGTGTCCTTTTTTTTTTTTTTTAAATTAAAGGTGAATATTTGCAGAATTTTTTACTATTTCCTCCAGGTAGTCCATTACCTTAATATTATTGGAGTCTGTAAGGAACATGGTGAGCCGATCAATGCCCATGCCCCATCCAGCTGTAGGTGGAAGTCCATATTCCAATGCAGTGCAAAAGTTGTCATCAATGAACATGGCTTCATCATCGCCTGCTGCTTTTGCCTGGATGATCAATTAACAGTGACAAATTCCTACATCCCACAGTACAGGAAATGCCAATACTCCTAATTCCTACGTCACCACAAAGGAATGCCACTATATTCCTAGAATCCAGGTGGCTATGTTCCAGTAGGATCTGTGTATTTGTAAAATCAGCTCAAGAAATGAACTAGAGATGTGGAGAAATTAGAGAAGGTCCAGAGAAGAGCAACAAGAATGATTAAAGGTCTAGAGAACATGACCTATGAAGGAAGACTAGAAGAATTGGGCTTGTTTAGTTTGGAAAGAAGACAGAGAGGACATGATAGCAGTTTTCAAGTATCTAAATGGGTGTTACAGGGAGGAGGGGGAACATTTTCTCCTTGGCCCCTGATAAGACAAGAAGCAATCAGCTTAAACCACAGCAAGGAAGATTTAGGTTGGACATTAGGAAAAAATTTCCTAACAGTCAGGGTGGTAAAACACTGGAATAAGTTGCATAGGGAGGTTGGGGAAATCTCCGTTTCTGGAGATATTTAAGAGCAGGTTAGACAGACATCAATCAATGATGCTCTAGATCTAGATCCAGATCCCAAACTGAGCCGCACCCCCCCCCCCCCCCCGCCAGGTCAATCCTCTCCCCCTAAGTTTTGCTGCTATTTTTGTTTTTCGGCCCCGGTCAGTTCCTTTTATTTTGGCTCAACAAGTTTTGCTGCTATTGGGGGGAGGGGGGCAATGAGGGTTTCTCAAAAATCAAAAAGGGGGTATGATGCTTAAAAGTTTGGGAACCACTGCTCTAGCTGGTACTGGGTCCTGCCATGAGGGCAGAGCGATGACCTCTTGATGTCCCTTCCAGTTCTAGTGTCCTATAATTCTAAGTCTGTGTCTGGAATATTCTGAAGGCCACATCTTAGAAAATGGCCTGGATGTTGCCAGAAAACATCCAATTCTAGACAAGTTTTTTGAACTGGAGAATATTTGCAGGATTTCGTATTTCCTCCAGGTGGTCCATTACCTTAACTTCATATGCCAGGGGATGGTTTGAAGGTCCAACACTATAATGGGGTTCCAAAAAGCTACATAAATTCATGGAGGCTAGGGTCCATCAATGGCTATTAGTCAGGATGTCAAGGAATAGTTTCTCTAGTCCATGGTCCAATAATAAGAATATAGCTGTAGGGATATATTATCGACCACCTGATCAGGACAGTGATAGTGATTACAAAATGCTAAGGGAGATTACAGAGGCTATCAAATTTAAAAAAAAAGGGATTTCAATTATCCCCATATTGACTGGGTACATGTCACCTCAGGATGGGATGCAGAGATAAAATTTCTTGATACCTTATATGATGACTGCTTCTTGGAGCAGCTGGTTCTGGAACCCACAAGGGGAGAGGCTATTCTTAATTTAGTCTTAAGTGGAGCACAGGATCTGGTTCAAGAGGTAAATATAACTGGACCGCTTGGAAATAGTGACTATAATGTACTAAAATGTAACATCCCTGTGGTGGGAAAAACACCTCCCCAGCCTAACACTGGCATTTAATTTCAGAAAGGGGAATGACACAAAAATGAGGAAGTTAAATTAAAAGGTACAGTGACAAAACTAAAATCTCTGCAAGCTGCATGGAAACTTTTCAAAGGCACCATAATAAAGGCCCAACTTAAACATATACCCCAAATTAAAAAACACAGTAAGAGAACCAAAAAGGTGCCACCGTGGCTTGGCTTAACCATGTAAAAGCAGACACAGATAAAAAGAGCTCTCTTTAAAAGCAGACGTTAAACCCTAGTGAGGAAAATAGAAAGGACCACAAACTTTGTCAAGTTAAGTGTAAAAATATAAGAAAAGCCAAAAAGGAGTTTGAAGAACAGCTAGCCAAAAACTCAAAAAGTAATAGTAGAGTAAAACTCCAATAGTCCTGCACCCAATTGTTCGGCACTCCCAATACTCCAGCATCAAAATGTCAAGCGCTCCTGACCAGCTGATTAAAAAGCCGGCTGCTCAGCACAGGTGCCAGCTGTATGGGGACCAAGCATAAAGTTGGAGAGAGGGGAGGAGGGAGTGGGATCATGTTACAGCATGGAGAAGGAGAAGCAAAGAGGAAAGGAGAGTGGAGGGGGAGGAGGATCAGGTTACAGCATGGAGTAGAAGCGAAGAGGAAAGGGGAGGGGAGAGGGAGATTGTGTCCCGGCCAGTTGTTAAGCTGTGCAGCTGTACCAGGACCTCCCGATACTCCAGCATATCTGATAATCCGGCACCACCTAGGTCCCAAAGGTGCCAGATTATCGGAAGTCCACTGTAAAATGTATTGTTAAGTACATCAGAAGCAGGAAGAGGGCTAAACAACCAATGGGGCCCGTGGAAGATCAAGATGCTAATGGAGCACTCAAAGATGATAAACTCATAGTGGAGAAGGTAAATGAATTCATGACTGGTGTGGAAAAAAAATGAATAAGGAAAAGTTATTTATTTATTCCTATCACATAAGAACTAGGGGTTACCAAATGAAAATAAGACAGCAAGTTTAAAACAAAAGGAAGTTTTTCTTCACTCGGTGCAGTCAGCCTGTGAAGGAGCCCGTGAAGCTCCTTGCCAGAGGATGCGGTGAAGGCTAAGACTTCAACAGGGTTCAAAAAAAAGAACCAGATTCATGGAGGTTGGGTCCATCGATGGCTATTGGCCAGGATGGGTAGGGATGGTGTCCCTGGCCTCTGTTTCTCTGGAGGTGGGTGACAGAAGAGAGGTCACATGAGGATTACCTGTTGTGATTCCTCCCTCCGGGGCATCTGGTATTGGCCACTATCAGCAGACAGGATACTGGGCTGGGCTAGATGGACCTTTGGTCTGACCCAGTATGGCCATTCTTATGTCCTTAGTCCACGGGTGGGCAATAATTTTTGACTGGGGGCCACCCCAGAAATTTTTCAAGTGGCCCCAGGCCACCCCAGAAGAGACAGGGCCTCAGGCGAAATGGGTGGGGCCAGGACACTTCCCTGCTTCCCCACCCACAGATCCTGAGTGGTCTGGAGGTAGGGGAGCATGCAAAGTCTAGGTACCCACATCCCTAGTGGTAGGACGAGACTTCGCCTGTTCCCCTGCTGTACCTACGTCCATCAGGGAGCATGTGAGGTCTCTAGCTCCCTAGTCCCACCCTGCAAGGGAGCGCAGCACTTAGAGTCAACCACCAGCTGCTCAGCAGCTGGTAGTTGACTTTTCAGTTCTAAGCCCCTTATAGGGCGGGAGGAGACTTCACGTGCTCCCCCCTCTTCCAAACCCTGATTGGCCTGAGGGCCGGTGGAGCATGAGTCTCCTCCCACCCTGCCCTATCCTGCAAAGAGTGCACCATGCTTAGAAGCGCCATATCCCTGGCAGGGCAGGAGGCGACTTCAGGCACTCCCCCGCACTCCTAAAAGTTGATTGCCCTGGGGACGGGGGGAAGCAGCAGGGTCACCACAGGCTAGATCAACACACTTGGCAGGCTGGATCTGGCCCGCAGAGGCCCTTTTGCCCACCGTTGCTTCTGTTTGTTAGAAGCTGGGAATTTGTTACAGAGCATGGATCACTAGATTCCCTGTTCTGTTCATTCTCTGTTCTGTTCATTTGGGGCACCTGGCATTAGCCACCGTCAGAAGACAGGATACTGAGCTAGACAGACCTTTGGTCTGACCAAGGATGGTGGTACATATGTTCTTAAGTTAAATTTGTCTTGTGAAGCAGAGTCTGACATTCAGGCTGTACATGATCTCTTTTGGTATGTGTGAAGAAATGCATGTTGGGAAACTGGAGAAACAGCACTCCACTATCAGAAGAAGGGATTAACAGCAAGGATCTTTGAAATTTTTAGTATGAATTACATTTCAATAGGTATCTTCTCTTCTAATCAAAATAATTCATAGCAGAACTAGACCCTGACAATCTACAGCAGTTGCTTACATTGAATATATATTAAGAAAGTGTTTAAGACTCAATTATCTAAGTATTTTGCTCTTTTTGAAAAAATTTAACGTGCTCTTTTGGTTCTCCATTTTTGTCATCTTTCCCAAGTGTTCCTCTCCTGTTTGCTGCATCATTCATTTGTCCCCTAACAATTCTCCCCCTAGTGGCAGGAAGTGCTAGAGATAAGATATTTCTTGCAAAAGCTTATGTTTGACCTATTTAATGGAGAGATTCAGTCCCAGTACGATTCCTGTGGTGTTAGTTGTGACTGTTTCAAACAGCCAGTACAGGGTGTAGAAAAATGAGATAGGAGTTTGTGTGAACTGGAAATACATATTCTGGCATTCATCCCAGCCACAAGTATTTTGGCTACAATTAATCGCTACAATTTCATACCTTTGCTTGATCTTCAAAAAACTGCCGCTGCCGGAAGGGATCATTGAGCTCTGTGTATGCGTTGCATATTTCCTTCTTCATCACAAAGAGTTCAAAGCGTTCTGTCAGTCCCTGCTGAGAGCGATGCCTGTGAAGAGGAGACATGTCACAAGGCAGCTCAGAAACAAACACAACTTCCTCATTGAAAACAAGGGCACTGTTTCAGAAGAGATGCCCACTCTGACCGTCACCACTGTAAAACTCCAGGCCACTCCATATAGATATTTCTCCCTGGATTTTATGCCCTGTGAAATGGGCTCAAAGGAGCAGGAACCAAGACCTAGGACGTGTCAGACTTTCAAAACTGCTACTTGACACCAAACCTTTCCTTTTCACAACTTTTCTCATCAAGATAAAAAAGGTTTCATGGCTTTATACAAAATCGCATACTCTTACCATTTAGCCAGAGGGCTCATGATCTGTGGATGATCACAGATGAATGTGGGATTGATACAAGTGACTTCCAGAAGCTCACCAACAAGCTGAAAAACAGAACAAAGACAAAACATTAAAGTGAGAACATCACTTTACTAACAGTCTGCCTCCAGAACAACACACACTAATAACTGAGCTGCCATAAGACTGAGATGACTTACTACTTCAGAAACCTACTTAGGGTAACAGCTTCATTAACAGCGAGTCCCTGCAAGACAGTCCATGCATCATGCCGGGAGGGGTTACAATCTGATTTATACAGTCTGAGCTAGAACACAAGATTAATGTCTAAACTTCATCCAGTCTGACAAGAACTCCAATGTCAGAACATCAACCTAGGACTGTTACCTACAGCATCTCAGGGAGTTATTGGAGTTTCGTGACCAATTTGACATCTGTGGCACAAGCCACTAGACAAAGCAGACAAAGAAAAAACATCAAGGAATAGTTTGTGTGTGAAGAGCAGAAGAGAGCAAAGTGCAAGGCCAGTATGTGTATAGTAATTTACCTTACATTTTGGAGGGACACGGAAATCTAAATGCACTTCTCCATTCATGCAAAATGTTTAGAGGAAAGGGTCACTGTAAGGTTGAGGCACAAGTGGCCAAACTTACTGGCCTTCCAAGTCACCTATGACACTCTCTAGAACAGTGGTCGCCAACCTTTTTACACCCAAGATCACTTTTTAAAACTCAGAAGATCTACCGCCCCGCCCCTTCCTTGAAGCCCCGCCCTCTCTATTCTCCTCCTGTCCATCACTTGCTATCCCCAGCCCTTACTTACACACTCTGATAAACAGTTTATTTTTAAATTATGCGATACATACAATTAAAAATCCATACAATTAAAATCATGTGTTTATAGTTATGAAATAAATGGTCTGTTTTTTATTCATGCTATTTAAATCTAAAATGAAGCATTTATAATTATACATTTTGTGGGGACAGAGTTCTACGGCTGGGGGCAGGGGAGAGGGAACACAGTGCTGGGAGGGCAAAGGACAGGTTTCTGCAGCTGGGGACAGGGTGACAGTGGAGACAGAGTTCGGGGAGTGGGGACAGGAATAAGGACAGAGTTCTGTAGCTGGAAACAGAGGAGTGGGGACAGAGTTCTGTGGCTGGGGACAGGAGAGTGGGGACAGAGTT